CTTGTGTGCATGCTGGTGGATGGTTAAGATTCGTGGTCAAAAACAGGAATACCCAGAACTCTGTTTCGCTCTAACCATGCGCTGGGGATAGGTAACCAACCCGCTCCTTTTCCCAGAGGTGTGCAACACTTTGCATGTGTGTTGCACTTCGCCTCATCAAAGCAAGTCAAATAGTCAGGGACAACTCATCCCTGTCCTGGCACAGGGACAGGTGTAGGAAGAAATGCCTGCTTGTCCTTTGCAAAGGCTGGTGGGCATTGCTGTGACCTTAGAGAGGTCACAACAGTGGAGTTTGGGGCACTGTAACCTCTCTTAAGCTACTCAGTTTCTGCCTGTACTTTCTCATACACCCTCTGATGGCTTCCTAGGGTTGCACATAGCTGCATGTTTAAATTTGCACATTATTTCAGCTGCTGTAAATAAAAATCTGTGTGGAGGTGAGTTGATTACTATTGCTGTACTTACTAAGCCAACAGTAATAGTTGTGGTTAATCACATGAGTCCGGGCCTAGTGTCTACAGAGCTTTTGAACTAAATCAGCTTAAAATCTTAGGATGTGTTGTTTAAGTTAAACCAATGCAGCTTTCTGGTGTAAACAAGCCATTACAGCTGCTTTGCAGCTTGGAGTGGTGATTGCAGTGTCCAGTAAATTATGCTCTGAGAGTAAAAGTTAAGTGATATGGGTGGGCTGTGTTTTGGAAAGATGGTCTCAAGATGCATGTATGTTGTGGGGTGACTAGGGCTTCCTGGAAGAATCACAGCTCAGAAATTAATCTCTTCTAAGGTACATTTTCTTTGCAAAGACAAGAAGCAGAAAGTGGTTGGTAATGTATTGTTTGGGGGGGTGGGGGTGGTGTTCAATTTAAAATGCTCAACTAACTTGCTTTCAAATACTCCAGACTGGTGTTTTTTTAGAGACTTCTTCTTAATAATCTTGTAGTGTGCATGTATTCATGCAGTGTGTTTATTATCAATTATGAGGTTAATGGTTTTTTTCCATTTGAGTAGAGTTTTTTATTACAGGAGTTCCCAAAATGCCATGCATGTGTTTAACAAATGATTTGACTGAAACTCCAGTCATCTCTGGGGCAGGTTTGTTTACCCATAATGCTTTACATCTTACAAGAAGGAAAGGAGATTAAGAGGCTTAACCAAGATGAATTTCTCCTAACTTCACATGGCCACCAATTAAAACAATGACAATGCTCTTTCTCCCATATTGATAGACCCTTGCCTCTGCGCAAAAGGAGGTGTTTGTCATAACAGCTACAGGGAAACCTTTAATTAGTTTATTTGTGCTCCAAATGCAAACTGAGACCTAATAATTCTGTCATTTACTTTCTTGTACTGCGTGTGCCAATTTCCAACCTTAGGGGAGCCCACACATGCATCTGTCAGCTTCATTTCACATGTATCCAAGGGTAGGAAAATTTAACTTGCTGTTGAGGCAGTCCAGTTGAATGGAGGAAATGCTTTGAGTCAGGCTGGCTTGCTGCCCGCTGAATTTTGTGACCTTGTAGGTTATTACCTATAGGATGGCAACAAATGATTCAGAAGTGCAAACCACTGCTGTCTCTGGCCAAAACCAATATCTAGAATTTAGCCACAATAAGGAGGTGTGTAGCAACAATAAGGATGTTGCAACATCAGGCTGCAACTGCAGTGTCCGTTTTTCCTCCAGCTATTGTTTCACAGCCCACAATTGGAATGGCTAATGGATCCTGGTCTCCTTCCTGGCCATGTGTATTTTCTTTCTTTGGTAGATGCAAAGTACAGAGCCATATGGCTGTATCTGCACTATGTTGGGGGCGGGGGAGTAATCCTCTGGCACTTATCCTGCCTGTGCAAGTAGCTTGCAGTCATCTCTTTCCACAGTTCTTCATGCAAGTGGTGTGAGTCCCGTTGGGAGCAGCAGCCCTGATTAGGAGTAGCTAGCCCCATGCCTACAACATTCCCTAGCCAACGCTGAGCATCCATGTTCTGTTTTGTGCAGCCAATCTGAGTGCTGCTGCTGCTTCACTACCTCTCCTGGCCTCATGGCTCTACAGATTAACTCACAGCCAATGTGCACGTTTTACATAATGCATACGCTGCTGCTGAGAGAGAGTTTTGCCTTTTTTTTTTTTCCTTATAGATGAGAGGAGATAACTTGTGAGCAAATAAGCCTCTTGGGATCAGACTGAGGGTTTTGAATGTAGTATTACACAAACTACTTTCCCATTTCGATGTGTGCTGGCTCTTCCTTTTCTTCCCCCCACCTCCAAGTCTGGAAAGCTAGAGAGAGAAGCCCTTTTCCCCTCTTGGCCAGGATGCTATTCAGCCATCACACATACTGCCAGATTGCTAACATATGGGCAGAGGGCTCAGCCAAAGTTTTGAGAGGCTCAGCCCTTGGCAGCTTGTTCCACGCTTTCCTGTCTCTACATCCAGGAAATGAAGTCAGAGTGTTGATATAAAACAGGCTGGGTTGAAAACTGAGAAGCTGGAAAGACTGAAGTGGGGGACTTGGAGGGGGGTGGGGTGGGGGGAGATGGAGCGTGGCAGGGGCTCGTTGCAGTGTGCATTGCCCTGCAGCATGTGTGGGTTGGGGGTTTCTTGCCTTGTGCCAGAGTCCTCCGTTTGATTGCTCTTGCTGCCTTGGAGTCAGAGGACTGAGATTTTATGCTGGCAGACAAATATACATGTCTTTCCTATGGTGCATGGAAAGATCAGCATGCAGAGATAGTGTTGTCTTGATCACGTGGCAGCATTTATGAAAGCGCTTGGAAGGGGTGAAAGTCAAAACTCTGGTAAAGAGCATGTATTTCCATATCTGGGACATGGGATTCCCTTACCTTTTGACTTTTTCCTGAAGAATGACTCCATTGCTAAATTTTTATGGAATGATGTGGTTCTAATGCAGAATTATTTTTCTCAGGCAGCTTTAACATCAGTTATTTTTTGACTAGCCCAGACACTCTGTGGGATGGATGCAGGGAGTTCCAGTTAAGTGAGACTGCAGTGGGAATGGCCTGTCTTGCCTAGGGACGTAGCAGTTGTACTTCACTTCTAGGTCACTAGTTCAACCTAATCCAGCATAGTAATAACCAAAAGTAATAGAAAGCTGGAAGCTGTTTGTGGCTTACAGAACCTGAAGTGGTCTGTGTGGCTTTAAGACCAGTACCTAGCTGACATGTCCCATCACAAAAATGCTTGCCCACCTCAAATCTAGACTGATCAACAATATTAAAAAATCCAGGGGGACTTGCTTGGAAGAGGTCTTCTGCTTTCATAGCCTGGCATCTTTGCTGGGAGAGAATGGAGAGTTTGGCAGCTACCAAAGTGATCTCTTCTGTTTTCTAGATGCTGGCTTCTGGGATATTCTTGTTGCATAAATTTTGTAATGGACTGGTATAGCTTGATCTTTGGGCCATGTCTGAACTCTGTAGTGTCTGGTACCCTTAGCAAAGTCAAGTCAATTTAACTGAAACTTAGGAGGATGTTGGGCTAGACTTGCTATCCTCTGGGTGTTTGAGCTCAGCAGCTTTGTCATCCTTATCTGCTATTCTGCCCTGCCCTTCTTTTCTAGCTAGATCTTCAGGATCTCTGCTCACTGACCATCTTTGTTTTCCATTCTTGTTTCCCCTGAGAGCAATCATGTTTTGTTGTTTCCAGCCAAGAAAGGTCTACAAACACACAAGATGCTCACAAGGGGACAGTCACACATGCATGCTTGCACACAAGTATGCTCTGTTTCTATTTCAGTCTTGGATAGCCAAATTCTGCCTTTTGGAGACCAGTGTGATGGCTCCCTCTCTTGTTATGTTGGGGTATAATACCCAGCTGGAACCGGATGTTCCAAATGGGGACCTTAAACCAAACTCACTTCTGTTAATTTGTTGTAGAACCTGATTAGAGACTAAGCAGGGAGAATGATCTCTGACTTAGTGTCTGAATGTAAATGTAAAAATTAAGATCGAGTTTGTTTTTTAAAAGATGATACTGAGGGTCAAAAACGTTGAGTTTGGTTTTTGGGTGCATTGTTCTGTGTTTAGCTGCAGATGTCTCAGAGGAACCAGACTGGAGGGTTGCAGTTGCCATTACTCTGAAAAAGGGGTCCTTTAAAGCTCTCCGAGTCTGGTCACTGGAATTTCAGACTCTTGTTTTTAGCATTCACCAAGCAGTAAAGTGCCCCTATTGCTTGAGCTTCTAATCATTCAGAGCATGAGATTTTCATTAATGAGCATAGTTACTTCATTTTTTTCAACACAGGAGGCCTTCAGGTAACCTTACAGTAACCTGTATTATTGTAGCCAGATTTGCTCTTTGATCTCCTGATGCATATTTATTATTGCTTAATTCATACTTTAAAAGTGCTCAGAGTACCCAACAGAATGTAGGACAGTGATAGGATGAAGTGAAAGTCAGCTTTTCTGAAGAGGTGAATTTAAGTTGATGTAGCCCGTAACTTCTGGGTCAAACCAGCTTCTCTATCACATGCCTGGCTTTTCTTGAACCTGGATATAGGCTTGTAGTGATTAAAAGTAAAACACTGAGGTGGTGACAGTGGAGCTGTGGCTGTGAGGGCTACTGTGTTCCCTCTCTGACCAGAAGCAGTGTTTCCCCCTCCATTAATGCTGAGAACAGAGGCATGAGGAGCCTTTTCCAGGCAGACCCTCTCTGAGTGTCAGGTGGCTGGTGAGGGTCTTGGTGCCGACTGACCCCTTGCTGGGAAGAGCGAGGACCTTAATGTTGATCACAACCTGTGAAATTGGGACAGTGCCACGTTGCTGCTTGCTCCTGGAGGAGTTAATGGGGCAGGGTTGTTGGGCCACATGACAAAAGCGGTTGGGAAGGACAAACTCTTGTTTCTAGAGGTCCCCTTTTCTCACAGACTTAAGGGACCAGAGGACATGGGTTGAGAATGCCTCCCTGGTGATGTGGGGGCTGTATTCCCCCATGTTGGCAGAGTAGAGGCTTCATTGGAGCAGTGAGTGATGTGTTACTGATCCCCTTTTCAGGAGAAAGAGAAGAAGTATATGTTACCAGTGGACAACCTGAAACTGCGAGATGTTGAGAAGGGATTCATGTCCAGCAAACACATCTTTGCTCTCTTCAACACTGAACAGAGGTATGCTCGCATCTCAACACACCAAGCTGTTGAAGCTAGGGACAGGCTTTATGTAATATTAGATAGGAGGGGGTAGAGATGAGTGTGTTGGGAGAGCTCTCCAGGAAAGATGTGCGTATCCTTTAAGGATAGCCATTTTTGGAGGAGATGGGGGACTTCTTTTAAAAAAGAAGTCTGACTTCATTCCTTCTGGTCTTACAGGTGTGTACCATTTTCTTTCTTCATCAGTGCATGGCCTGCAGTGTGACTTCAGCCTTCAGCTATTTGATGTGGTTATCTGGGTCTCGCTGTGGCTGGAGTATATATTTATAATCAGTGTTCTTAGTGAGTGACTAGAGAAAGCCATAGGAGATAGGTGACCCAGGTTTGCTGGAAAAGTCCAGCAGTGAGCAGAATTGAAAAGGGAATCTCTTTCAGGCCCTGTTGAAACATACAACTGATTTGGAGGCAAATCAAACTTGCTCATTAAAAAAAAAAAAAAAAATTGTTTCCTTTTCCTTCTGCAGGGACATCATGAAGATACTAGCAAGGGACTAAGTGTCTCTGCCTTAAAATGATGGGAAGATTCCCTGGTCATTGACATCTTTGTTAAATATGGGCAAATCTCTGATTTGCAATAGAGTAAAATGTTTGTCTTTCTCTCAGGAATGTTTACAAGGACTACCGGCAGCTGGAGCTGGCTTGTGAGACCCAGGAGGAAGTGGATAGCTGGAAGGCTTCCTTCCTTCGTGCAGGAGTCTACCCAGAGCGTGTTGGGGTAAGTTACAGCCATAATAATGGGATGGGAAGGAACACAGCATGTATCTTAAGGATAGCTGCATCTTCTTCCATTAAAAATAAGTCTGAAGTTTTTGTTCTCTTTTCTGAGATGAGAATATTTTTGAACAAAAATTTAAATTTTTAGTATGTGCTGGTGCTTCCTTTAAGGAAGCTTGAGATAAAGTAACTGGCAGCTTCAAAGGGGAGATAAAGTAGGCAAAGGCTGCCTTGATAAATCCTTCTAGCTCTCTTGTTTTGTGGGCATTAAATACCCAATAGAAGGAGGACATTTATCTACCTGACTACTAAGTGGTATGTCTGTGGAGTGAGGCACCATTCCTTTTCAGTAACACTTACTGTATAGCCTTGTTAGGAGCTTCCTGGCTTAGTAGTAGTTGGTCTCCCATTCTTTCCCCCACCCAGTTAGGAAGGTATGTTCTCTGAATTTTTCTTTTGCTTGGTAGATACCTTAATATGCTAGTTTAGCAAGACCTCTTATCTCTTCCCTTAGCCTGGTCCCACAACACTTGCTGTCAGCATTATGCTCTCCTTTAAAAGTATGTTCTAGAGAATTGTGCTGTATGTTCCTGTTCAAAGCCTTCCTGTTCCTCTGTGAGAGGAAGCTGCTATAAATAGTTTTCCCATTAGAAAAGTCATAATTGTTTATCTGCTTGTATTTGTTGCTTCTAATAAGCTTCTTGCATTCATCTTTCCCGTTTGTTACAATTGAAGATTGTGGGTTTTGCCTTAAAGCATTTTCTGACAAACTGATGTGATCTTAAAAACAAACAAACAAAAAAAGATTAGGGATGGGACCTTAACAGTGACATGACTTCAAATTGGCTTTGAACCAGGCTGGGCTGCTTAAACACATACTCATGAAGGACATGTGCCACCTACTGGTGTGCAAATGGAGTGGTTTAATATAGGAACGCTGATGGCTAGGTTGACTGTCTCAAAACACTGTGTAATGAATAACGAGTAGCCATTGTAGGGAAGTAAATTGCCCTTTGTTGCTAACAATACGATTGCCTTTGCAGAGCATCCCATTTTGATTTTCAGTTTAGCTAAACAATTTGTTCCTCTTCCAGGGTAATTTAGGTATTGATGTATTTTTAGCGGGATTGGTCTTTGCTTGTTCAGTGCTATTATGGGATCTTCTCCAAATTATGAGACCAACTAAAAGTCTTCTTTTATTTTTTGTCCCTTTTTGTTTTAATTTTTTCCACATATGCTCAAACTGGCCTGCCAGGACAAGGACAAAGTAAGTCTGACCCTCTCTGCCTGTTTTGCCGCCTGGGGCTCTCACCAGATAGTTCTCTTGTTTTTTCCTTTTGTCACAGTTTCCTGAGAGGCATTTGCTGCTTCTCCCTCTTTGTACCTTCTGTTGGATTGCTCCTGTTTGTTTCTGTTCTTGGTTTGGGTTTTCCTTTTTTTCTTTTTATTTCGATCTTTTTGTATGACTTCTCAATCTTGGTGCAAACTTATTTTGAGTTTTTTGACCCTCACTTTTTTTAATTTGTCGTCCTGTTTGACGTCCACTTCCTTTACTTCGTTTCTCAGTGAGAAACAAACTTGCATTCCTTCACTTTGTAAGATCTTCCCAGGAAAAGCTCAAATTAACAGAAGAATTTGCCCTTTCTCATATATTTTGTTCCCCAAAACAAAAGATAAGCAATTTCCTACACTGCTGCAAGTCCTTCAGACTGGGATGGTTTAAAAGAAAGACTCTTCCTTATAAAATAGTTGTGTGGTTTTTTGTTTTTTAATAAGCATTGAGAAAGACAGCATTCTTTCATGCTTTGCTGCTTTGAAATTGATCCCAAATGGATCAGCCTTGGCGATTGCTTGCTGTCAAATAGCACAATCCAGGTTTTATCTTACGGGAAGCTAAAACGATGCATTTCAGGTAGACAGGAAGAGACTCATCCACTTAGTGTGAAAGAAAAGATAATTATGGCTTATGGTGCAGGATTTGCAGTTAAAGTGATCAGGAAGGCTTTCTAGGTTACTCCATCTACTTGCAGTCTGAGGTGAGCAGTTATTTTACCTCTGTATCTGTTTTCTCATTTGTATAATGGGGATAAAGATGCACTGTGTCAGACAACCTGTAAGGCTTAATTTATAGTGAGTGATTCTCACGTCTGAACTGAATCTGGGCATGGAAATCCCAGCTCAGATGAACCTTTCAGGAAGCTATAAACATTAAAAGTAAAAATTAACAGCTTTGAGTATTTACTAGAGCCATAACCTGGGAACATTGGTCAGGAGTCTCTCTTGCCTTTCACCTTTGTGTAATAACTTTCTACTAAGAGCAGCTTTATTGTTAAAGCTCCTCAGATCTGAGCTGGAGAAGTCTATACAAGCTGAGCTGTGCATTGACAATCACAGCTCAAAATGTAAGTTCAAATAAGTTTTACTGCATGTGCTTCCTGCGTGTTCCCTTATTTTCTTCTCTTAGCACTCATGAAAAACTAATTTTACTACATATGAAGAACCAGTCTGTTTCTCCTTCTCTCTGCAGGCCAGTGAAGCGGAGGAGAATGGATCAGACAGTTTCATGCACTCCATGGACCCTCAGCTGGAGAGACAAGTGGAAACGATCAGGAACCTGGTGGATTCCTACATGGCAATTGTCAACAAAACCATCAGAGACCTCATGCCGAAGACAATCATGCACCTCATGATAAACAATGTACTTATCACACTGTGGCTGATGGAGGTGGGGAGACACAGAGAAGGGGAAAAATAGAGAGGGAGAGAAAGAATGAAGAAAAACTGAAGGCAGCTTAGAAGTAGGACGGGGTGGGGACAGAAGGGAGTGTTTTGGGAAAGACAGTGAAAATTCATTCCCTCTTTGTGCTCATTTACAGACCAAGGACTTCATCCATTCGGAGCTGCTGGCAAACCTGTACTCCTGTGGTGACCAAAATACGCTGATGGAGGAATCTGCAGAGCAGGCCCAGCGACGTGACGAAATGCTGCGCATGTACCATGCCCTGAAAGAGGCCCTCAACATCATTGGGGACATCAACACCAGCACTATCAGCACCCCTATGCCCCCACCGGTGGACGACTCTTGGCTGCAGGTGCAGAGCGTACCATCTGGACGCAGGTACCAGAGGCTCAGGGGGAGAGCCCCACAGACCTGCCTGATGCCTCTTTAGTGGCTAGCTGGGGCCTCCTACTGAGACAGGGAGTCCTTCTCTTCCCCTCTTCTCCCTGTGAATGAAGAGTTCTGGGTATTTGTGTTGGGTGGCTCCTAGGCCTTGAAAGCTGTGCAGGGCTGCTACATCTTTACATAGGATGTGGAAGCTTCTAAACCCTTAAGTTAGATGGGGCCTGGAGTAGCTTTGAAGGCAACCTGAAGCCTGGCATGGCCCTTGAAAGCCAAAGGGTTGTGCGTAAAGTGACACGAAACTAAAGAAACACCGAAGGCAGCATGATGGTGACCTGATGGCGGCACAGAGGGATCCCAGGCGTGTTGTTGCAGTTGAATTTCTCTGCTTGTTTGCCAGGTCTCCTACGTCCAGCCCCACGCCACAGAGGAGAGCTCCTGCGGTTCCACCCGCCAGACCTGGGTCTCGAGGCCCCGCTCCTGGGCCACCTCCTGCTGGTGGGTCCACACTGGGTGGTGCCCCCCCTGTGCCCTCCAGGCCAGGTGCCTCTCCTGATCCCTTTGGGCCCCCACCTCAGGTTCCTTCTCGGCCTAATCGTGCTCCTCCTGGTGTTCCCAGGTAAGCCCTGAAATGCTGCTCCACACAGGTGGGATATGTCCAATTCTTGGGTAGTGGCCCTGACAGTATTTAGCCTGCCTCAGCCGTAGAAGGAGAATGGAGTGCATGGTGTGGGTACGGTCTTTGACTATTTGAATTGTTTCCATAGGCAGGAGCACTGTTGTCCACCAATATTTTATTGTACAGATGAGACAATGCCAAGGCAGCTCTTAGGAACAGAGAGGCAGCCTCTTTTCTGCACAAACCTCTGTGCAAAGGTTGGGGGAAGAAGACCTTGTACCCGAGGGCTTTATTTACAGCAGTCATACCAATGCCTCTGCTCACAAGTAGGAGGTAGTCACCAGAAAAATCACAGGACTGGAGTGACAGTACACCTTTCAAGGCAGTTGCCCCCTGCATAGGGCTCCCTAAAGTCTGAAGTTGCCCCTTTTCTCCTGGCCCAGAGTTCTTCAAGGTGAGTTGGAGAGACCTTTATGTAAGCTGTTCAGATGGGTTTTTGGCTAGGAGAATATTGCAATATCACTGGCAGGGAAATGGATTTTTTTAGGCATTTTTGTTGCTTCTGTAATCAACTTGGAGGGTTCAAATCACACAGCTTTGCTCTCCCATTAGGAAACTTAATTCCTTTCCTGTTAGTCACTTCAAACACTTCAACATAGTAATAAGGGATTATCCCCTGTGCAGCTAAGCATGTGTTCCTGAACAAGACTTGAGGCAGTCTGGAACCAGGAATGCTTTTAGGTTGGGTACTTGGTCTCCCTGTGAGGAAGAGAAGGTAATTGCAGAGTAAAGAATGAACATAACCAGAAGCTCCCCAGTGACATGCCAGCGGGAACACTGCCCTCGTGGAAAATACCTCCTCTCCAGTAGGTGCTGGTGGCACATGTCTGAAGCTTTGCCATTTTCTGTGAAAACACCCAGCTGGTCAACGGGTGGTGATGGTATATGGCAGAGGCAGTCCAGTCTTCCTCCTGTGATGGTGCCCCAGCTCATACTTGGCACTGCCTGTTTAGAGGGGAAGTGTTCTCTGCCAGGCTGTATCCAGCCCAGAGATGGATGAGTCCAAAGAGACTACAGACCAGTTCCTGACTGTGTGCAAATGGTTTTACTTTCTTGGTGCCTCTGCCCCAGTCCTCCCTATGCACCTTGATGCAGCTCCCACAGTAACTTGTCCACACATGCCTCAGTGTTGCCCCAGGAACTGCAGTCCTGCTGGTGGCACCTATGGATGTCAGCATGCTTCTGTGTATTTTGGCTCTTGCTTCTTGTGACCCTGCTTTTCCATATACTGTTACTTTGTGGTTTTGTTTTTAGTATACTTATGCTTCTTTCTGTCTACATATTTCTTCTTTCATTCAGTTTCATTTCTTCACTCATGAAAAATATTCTATATACCTGATCATCATAATAGGATTCCCCAAATGGGCTGAAAATAATTGGCCTTTTTTGAAGAAATCTGTCATAGCTTGTCTTAATGGCTTTTCTGCCTTTAGCATGAGGTAGAAGGGTTTACGGGAAGGTAAGGAACAGCACTGGTGTAGAGGAAGACAGCGTTTCATACTTAACTGAGCAATCCCTTGCTTTAGAAGGAGAGGTGGTAGGTTGGATTGCATGCTATGGACTACCCTGATCTGGAGTTGAGAATGTAATTCCAGAAGCTGAAGTGATGCTCATTCTCTGATCCCCCTCTCTGATTCTTCCAGTTGTTCATAGACTCCTCTGGATCCTGATACCAGCTTGTCATTTTTCACTGAACGGAGAATTTCCAATGACAAGGGACTCTTTCTCTTCTCCTGTATATAGAATAAGGATGTTCCCTGCACTTGGACTTGGGTCCTTCTGCCATGGGTGAACGAATGCCATCCCCATTGTTGCTTTTTTAATACTCATCTTTTCCCTTGCTAACCAGGCTACACTATTGTGTGTGTGAGAGGAACAAAGCTCTTTTGTATGGTGTGAGTGGGCTCTGCTGTAGGAGATGGTGTTAGGTAGTGAGCTGGAAGAGCATGGTGGTGGCTGGATGTACTTTGTGTGTGTAGGCAAACTGATGCCCGTGTAGAAGTCTGGCAGTTTTTGTGCCTCCACTTTGTGTGAGCATCTGATTTTATGGATGGTGAACAAGTGTTGCTCCACTTCGTTCTTATAAACATAATTGTATAGACACATGCTTTCACATATAAACACAATGTGGTCCATTTTCTTGCACAGGAAGGTTTTCCTGCCTATAATTAAGTATGCTTAAAACAAGACTGACTTACTATCCTGCCTCTGTACTTAGCATTTATTCAGTCTACTATGGAAGTCCATATTGCCAAATACATACCTTTGGGAGCTGAAAGTTACAAACAATGCAAGGTCCTGTCTGTGTGCAGTGAAGGACTGCATTTGGACTAATGCCTGTTGGAGCCATGCAGGAGGATTTGCTCTGGGAAAGAAAACTATGAAGATATTCCTCCAGGTATTTAGTATCTTCAGTTTAAAATAGTTCGATAGAAACTGTAGGTGAAGGAGCTTAGGTAAACTCAAAGGAGAAGTAAGAAAGTTTAAGTGAGAATGACTCACCATTGGAAAAATATGTTGAAGGTATTAACGGGTTCTCTGTTCTTTGGTACATCTGAGGAAAAAGATGCAAGTGATCAGCATCGCTGTAAGCATAACTTCACACAGCTTTATGACTTGAATTATTCAGGAGGTCAGAGTAGCTGATCTTATGATTTGTGACCTTCAAAATAGAAGTCTTTACCTGCTTCTTCCCTTTTTGGGTTGTACTCAGGACTGCATGTTATCTCCCTCTTTCCTGAGCTGTTTCTTTCATCTCTAGCATTTAATGTGGTCAGAAGATAGGAATCCTGAGAGAGAGACAAGTGAAGCCACCTGTGCCCAGCTGGTGGGTGCTGAGACCTAGGTATGCTGCCCGTTCAGCCGGCATGAACGTCAGCCTCACAGTGTGTGACTTGTTGGGTGGGTGTGTGAGCAGTGGCCGGTAGGTGTGTGAACAGATAGACAGCTTTTGACACAGCCCTGTGCACAACGGGGTTCTGGATGTCTGCAGAGATGAAGCTGCGATTGTGTGCGTGAAGTCCTGCACGGCTGAGTGGAGCCCTACCCAGCAGTGCACACTCGTGCAGTGTTCTGGAGGGGGGCGTGCAAATGTGTGTCTGTGCAAGCGCATGTGTGTCTGGTCCGCCTTCCTGACAGTCTGTGTGGCCTCTGCCTTGAACTGTCTGAACTGCCATGTTGATTTCATGTTGTCTTTCAGAATCACTATCAGTGACCCCTGAGGACTGGCAGCCACGGTACGTTCTGCACTCTCCCTGCAATGCATGAGTCATTGTGTCCCCATCTTCCATTTGCTCTGCAGCTCACCTCTGCTGCCTAGTTCTTGTATTAGTAACAGAGTCCCTTGTCCAGTGAACCACCTCTGCCAGGATCTCATAAAGGGAGGAGTCTTGAACAGAAAACTGGCTGATCAGAGACAGAGCAGCTGCTTGAGCTGCAGGAGCTGGGAAAGCCTCAGTACCTGACTTAAGGTTACCAGAGGACCATTTCTCTGCTTCCAGATAGAGGAGGTGGGATGGGGGAATGAGCTTTGGCAATAAGGTCTAAACTGTGTGTGTCTTTCATTTGGCTTATATCCACACTGACTGGTAGATCAGAAGAATGAACTGTTTTGATTTGGTTTGTCAGCTCTGTTAAGATCAAGATACAGACTTGGGGAGCTGTTAGTTCAGACTCCTCTTCTTATATTCTAATGTCTGGCTGGAGAAGTGCTCCCCTCCTCACTGTGTCCCTAGTGCTCATGGAAGGCAGGAGGAGTTTGGGTCATTAATGTCAGGATTTCCATGTTTGAGTGCAGGGTAACTCTGACATTGAATGTTCCTTGTTATCCTTGTGTCCCATCATCACTGTTAGAAGCAAATTCCCTTTGCTTGTTCTCCACTTGACCCTTTGCCTTCTAGGTTGCTCTTCTGCTTCCATTCAAATTGCCTTCTCTCCTCTGCCTTCTGCCCCTGTGAGAAGAAGGGTTTAGTGATATGCGTCCCCCCAAACACTCTGCCCTGAGCTCCTGCCTGTTTCCCTTTTGTATCTGTCCCTGCATTTTGCAGCATTGTACTTGTTCAGTGAAGTAGCAGGGTATTGGGGCAGGTTCATGGGTACTGTGCTGGCCCAGCAACTCTACCTTGTCCTGTTAATGCTGAGGCTGGGGGCATGAGGAGGGAGGGCTGGCAAATTCTCCTGAGTTGTCTTGCTGGAAACCTCCAGCTGTTATTGACAAAGGGGTAGATAGGGCAGTACAGGGCAGGTGTGGATGTTTTGGGCACTTTCTTCCTTTCTCTGTGGATGTTTCTTGAAATGAAAGGTCTGACTGAGAGGAGTAGAGCAGCAGTTGCTGTAGATTCCCTTGCTGCTGGTTGTGGCAGAGAGCTGAGGGGGAGTGTGTGCTAAGTCCTATCTTAATAAGGATAGCATGAGTTCAAGCCCTTGTTCCAGGGCAAGGGAGTTCACAGCTAGCCCCCATCTTGCAGCAGATGGTGCCTTACTGCTGCATGTAACTGCAGTTAGAGCTGAGAGGTGCCACATCACATCAAACCAATGCAGTGACTGTTCAGAGACTGACATCTCTGAGGATGTCATCCATCAGCCCTCCCCACTGATGACATACTGCAGAGGTGCTGGAGCAATCAGCAGTTTCCTCCAATACTCTGCCTACTGCAGACATCCCTGGCAGCCCTAGAAACATGCGTCTTGGTGAACAACCTCACGAAAGAGGCTTGCTGTTGTCTGTACCTTGTTCTGGGACTCGCTGTTACGGGGCATTCTGTTCTTAATCTGGCATAAAGAGCACCAAGGAAATAAAAGAACCTAAAAACCAAACCACCACCAAAAACCAAACAACCCAAGAAACACCACCCAAAACCTTTTCCGGCCCAAGGGAATAAATGTAATGTTTTACCATCTCTGTTAAGTCCTTATCAGCAGAACTCTCTATTAGCCTGTTGGTTTCTAGATAGGATTAGCTCAGTGTTCTGACTGGGTATGGCTTTTAAAACTGACTCCAAGGGACATGACAGCCAGTGTAACCGGTCTCCTCAGGCTCTTGCCAGGACTCAGGTCTTGCTTCCTGTGTCTGGAGACTGCCACAGGCTTCCCTGTGAGCAAAACTTTGTTCCTTGTTCTGACAGAGGAAAGTGACTTTTCAATGATGTAAAAGGGCTTGGCTAGCAATGTAGTGAGACAGACTGAAGCAGCTGAAATGCTGCTGGGGTAAATGTTGCTTGAGAGACTTCTCTGTCCCTTTTTGTCCTGGGAGATAGCTTTCAGCCTTCTGTAACCTCACCAGGCAGATTCTGCAAGTGTTTCCAGAAAACCAGAGCAGAGACAAAAGCTGTAACTTTAAAAAGTGACAGCCCTTCCCCCTAAAATGCTCCGAGTGCTGAGAGAAATAAGTGTCTGCAAAAATCAATCACAGTACATTACAAAAAAAGCAGCCCATCTACCTGAAAATTACTTGTGCTCCTTTCAGCCCTATTTATTCTAGTAGGGTCAAGTGGACTCTCTTGCCAGAACACATTATAAAGTCCAGTGACTTCAAGCATCCTTTTCATGTAAATCCATAGAGGCTGTTAGGACAACCCGTCCACACTCCTGAAATGCAAAAAGCCCTTCAACCTTCTCAAAAAATGCCTTCTAACACATGTGAGAGTACAACAGCATCTCACTAAAGGCTGAGCTGAAGTTTTGTAAGGTTTTAATTCAAGTGCTATTACTGTTCCAATGTCAGTAGTAGCCATCAAATGGTTGGTATGGCTGCATTTACACCATGAGCACCCTTTAGAGATAGTGCACAGATCCCACCATGTCATGAAGCTTGGGGTCACAGACTCCCCAGCTGTAACATCTTATTGCAAGTTTTGCTTCTGGGAGACAGTATTATGTCAGCATCCTTCCAAGGTGGTTGTAATGTCCAGGTTAGCTCAATCCCATCATTATTTGCTGTACAGGAGCAGTAACTTGATTGGCATGCTGACAGTGGGGTCTTGCAGTCCCCATTAACATTTTCAGTTAAGGAAATAATATTTGGAAATGTTTTAGTGTCTGAAGCTTTCTTTTTATGTATCACTTCCCAAGGCAAGGAACAAGTAGTCGTAATTGTTTTGAGATCTGGGGCTTAATAGATATGGAGCAATAAATTCTGCTGAGGTCTAATGAACAGGACTAGAGTTGCTCTGGTTCATTTGCTAAGATGAGGGAGCTTGCCCCAGTTTATGGGAGTATAGCTCCTCTGGTACCGGCATGATTAGAGACTTGCAGTCAGTGCAAAATGAAGACTTCCCTACCTCAGAAGACTCTACTGGTGCAAATATCCTCCTCTGCTCCTTTTCCCTTCCTCCCCTCTTTCAGCTCCTGTGTTAGGGAAGGGCTTTCATTTCCAGCAGTCAGTTGATTCTCTGGAATCTAAATTAAAGCTTGTCAGTGTGGAGTTGTTCAGGCATTAATTGTGACACCTGGTTCTGTATGATCAGTGCAAACACCTCCTCTCTACTTTGTGTACATCCTGTTGGGTTTGCTCTTTGCATTTCAGGCAGTTTGGACTAAAACTACTCTGGCTTGGTACTGAACAATTTAATTATAATGATACACCATCATGATGCTGTTTAGGTTGCAGACACTGCAGGGAGCATGCTTTAAAGGAAAAACAGATTGGACTCACTGACTTGCAGAACACTTATTTGTAGACTTCTTAAATCCTGTAGTTCAAGTTTGAAGTGGTCTTTCAAGTACTGAGTTCAGAGAGATGGCAGGGGTGTTGTTTTGTATTTTCTGGGGTTTTGTTTTTCCCCCAGTCCCTTACAGGAAGGAGATCCTAGAACACTTAATCCATGCAGAGAGAAAACACTGAAGTTGCTGCCCACTTATCTAGCTAAAATACCAGGAAAAGAGCTGAAACAGAATGGAGTAGCAATAGCCAAAGTTCCTTTTATTGAAGTAAGTAGAAGCTACATTTGCTGAGCACCAGACCTAGATAACTGAAAGGAGCAAGCTTGCCCCTAACATCAAAGATGAGTATCATGTATTGGAATAGGGAATCTCAGGCTTGCGGTAGCCTCGAGGGCAGGGAAAGAAGGTGCTCCTCCAAACCAGCCAAGAACCTCGGACAGCAGCGTGTCTCAGAGGACCCCATCCATGCTGTGTGACTGTCATGTGCTTGATACAGGAGCTTACTGTTGTCCATGCTTCTCAACTCTCATTCCAGAGCCAGTGCACTCACTGGCAATAAATCTCTGCACTTCCAAATTTCAGAGGGAAAGCAAAACTGGCTGTCCAGTGGATTGTTTTACTGGTGATCCGTGCTGTGCAGAAAGGCCAGTGCGAGGCCTAGTATAAACCTGTAAGTCTCCTTTGTGGAGTTGCACTGTGGTAGTTTGTGCCTCAAGTTTTATTCTCTTGCTGGCTCAGGCGAGGTGGAGAAGCATGTGTGATTGTGACTGCGATTGCTGTGCTAACCACAGTGTGTGTTCTCTTGTTTTTGTTTTCTGCTTTTTCACAGCAGAAGGGGCCCTGCCTCACCTACTCGACCTACCATAATCCGACCGGCTGAACCGTCCCTCTTAGATTTATAACTCGAGGCTGTAGACAGCTGGCGACGAATGCCGTGCTGGCGGCTTCCCCATTCCACCCTCCCTTCCACAGCCACAGTCACTCCTCTCATCCATCCCACCTCTCTGCCTCCCACCACCCCTTCCTGGTGTGTCGTAAAACACTAGCCTAGCGATCGAGCTCTTCGTCTTCACTCATGCGTCCCGTATTGCTTTGTGAGCGTAGAGTAGCCTTCATTCAGTGGCATGGATCCCTGAAGTACACAGGCTCCTTGGAGAGATCAGCCACAGGGACATCCTTAAGTCCAAGTGGTGGCTGTCCATCCAGTTATTTCATCTGCCCGGTCTAGCCTGGATAAGTGTCCTGCCTGCATCAGTTAGCTGTAGCACCTAGGACTGATCCGTAGCTACTTTCTTTTTCTTGTAGTAAGACGACAAAAGTGTGACTTAGAAGAAAAATACTGTCAAAACATGTGACACCGTTAGGAACAGATTAAATGTCCTGTGTATTAGTTTGACTTCTAAGGTGCAAAAATTCATGTTGGGAACAGTGCAATCAACCTTATATCAAAGTGAGGCAGGGAGATCAAGAAAGGGGGGACCTCAATGGATCGGCATAGTCCTGCTAGAGTGAAGTCTGAGATAGCGCGCACACACCTCAGTGTGCAGGGAGCACATGGACCTGCTCGCACTCAGCTCCCCAAAAGAGCTGGGGAAATCCTGCTGGTGACACCCTGGCTCCTGCCAGCAGTTGTCTTGCACCATCATTTTTGGCTGGCTTTCCTGAACCCAGCAGGGAGAGGGGAATAGATACACCACTCCCCCCTTGCAAACGGACAACCAAATGTTTTCAGGGAGTTTGCTGTGTAACGTTTTGTTGAAAATAATATTTCTGCTTTGAATAAGCACATCTTTCAGTGTTTTTTGGGTACTGTGGTGACTTCTTCCGTAGCCTTTTCTTCTTGCATGTGGATGGTACGTGTTTGGGGAAACTTGTAACCGTTGTTGATCACAACTCATCTTCTTAAGGTTTGGTTTTTACTTTTCGTGCTACATGTATTAAAAAAAAAAAGACTTGAATTAAAAATATATCAACCCTGTACATCTCAGATGTCATGTCTCTACCAGAGCTAAATGAGCCACCTGCGTTGCAGGCTTTCAATCAGGCCTGATTCAGATTTAAGTTATCTTATTTCAGTGCTGTTGCTCTTAATTTCTGTTGTGGATCCTCTACTGTTCTGATGCCAGTTCTTTTCTGTATTTTAACTATTGTTTTACTACTTCTCCCCTCTTCTCCTTCCCTTCCCCTTTTTTCTTTGTTTTTCTTGTCTTTAAACTCCAGCCGGCCGGGTAAGGCCAGTCCCTCCCGCCCGGAGAGCCCAAAACCACCATTTGACATGTAGGCCTGCTCCCTCTGAGACTCTTTGCCTGCCTCTTAGCTGTTCTGTCCTGGAATGGTCTGACTCGAATCTCACACATGGCTTGTTTTGTTTGTATTTTGTGACACACACATATCAGATGTGACTGTAGTGAAACTGTTCTGTTTTTTTTTTTTTCCCAGCTGCTTAAAGGAGTTAAATGAGTATATTGTAGTAATGAGAAACATATCTTTACTGTTATAAATATCTATAAATATATATATATAAGATGAAAAATCTATATATGTCCAGGTGTTTAAAGCCATTTGTGCTTCCATGTGGATTTTAGGAACTACTTAAGTAGGGACAGAATATCTATATACATATATATATATACACACACACACATATCCAAAAAGTTAACCAAATCCTGATGTTGAGTTTTTGAGCTGATTGTTAAATTCTCTGCTGTGTGCAGTTGGGTTATTGTATTGCCCCAGACTTGTGGGTGAACTGTCTCAGTGCTGGTAGTAGCTGTGATGCAGTTTGTGATCTACCTGTCACTCTTGTTTATTGGATGAAATAAACTATCATTTCTGTATAATGAAGGTCTCCATGACTAGAATAAAACCATCTCTCTTTCTCTTGCTCTTTCTCTGGGTGATTTTCAAACTGTCTTTAATTATAACCTAATCTTTTCATCCCATAGAGCTTAAAAAGTTATACATGCAAGCAGGTGCTATCACTAATAGGGAAGGTGGAGCAGATCTGCATCAACAGTGGTATCCAGGAGCTGCAGTAGAGTGAAACAGCTTGTCAGATATGGAAGTTAACTCCCTTTCTCCACTGTAAAGGAAAATGCATTGAGGTGCTTCAGTGACTGGACATACAGAAGGTGGGAGTTTTGCACGCAAAATCGCTTGATTCTTAAAAAGGTATTTTTGCCTAGGGTGTTTGTGGAACACAGCAAGCAGGTGTTGAGTTGCAGTTTCTCTGTCAAGTAGTGTCTTTTGGGCCTGTATCTGAAGTATAGTCTAACCAAAATCTAACACATGTGGCCAGCTCCTACTTGGAAGTTGCTTTTAGGCTGAAGTGGGATTTCTCCCCTGGTATAAACTGGGTAAACTTGTGCCTACTGTCTCCGTGCCAAAACAGTGAGTTCTATGGGTCTTGGATCATGGTTGCTGCTTCTCACAGTGACAACCATGTTTTTCCCATAATTCCTGAACTTAGCACTGTCATCCCAGCGATTGCAATAGATTCCTTAAGCCCCTGTGTAATGGGGCTGCAGCACTACTACTGCAGGAAGAAACCAGGAGCACTGGGGTTGCTGACTTAAATCACTGTAATAATGGTGCCTGATTTAGCCCTGAGTGCTCTTGGTTACAGCTGGCTGTGGTACTTGTGGAATCTACCTTGTAAGATTTTTAATAAGCTAAAAATCTCCTTGAAGACTTCATTCAAAGGAGATACTGGTGTGGGTTGAGTGAATAGACTAGATCTCTAGTGCTTCCTTCCTATGTGTGTTCTAGCTATCTGTCTTGCATGTTTTTATGGGCTGTAACTTCAGCTTCTACTCAGCTGAGGCAATAACTGTTGCTCGTCCTACCCTGTCCTATTTTTTTTTTTCCCCCTCACTGGAACTGTTCTATCTCTGGTGTTATATATAGGGTTGTTCTTAAAGAATATTATATTTTTGAAGGCAAAACTGTGCATTTATTCAAGTAAATATTAGAGCGTTATTTTGCAAAACTAGAAACCTCTTATCTGCTGGTTATCAAAGGTTAAGTACATTCTGATAAGAATACCAGCTACCCTGCCCAGGCAAGATAAAATCCTATCCACTGATCTACAACCTTGTCAAATGAAGTGTCCTCTTCCCAGCATAACAGCTGTTTAGTGCTTATGGCCTTTAAGAAGCATTTTTCTATTTTCCTCAAATCAGAGGTGGTTCAGTTGCTCCCATTTAAAGCTACTACGTGTCAGTTGAAGAATAGCTCCTGCTTGTGTGTTGGCTCTTAGTTCACTCCAGGTAAAGGTGGGGTCACGAAAACACTCCTAAAGGGAACAGGGTGAAAAATGAATCTGAACCCAGGGTCTGGATGCAAAATGCTAGCCAAGAGAAGTGTCTCAGGCTTGTCAGCAGTCTGCCTACAGGAAAACATTCATGAAAGCTAAGGGAAAAGAAGGGCATTGATGCCAGGGCAGGTGTTTCTTGAGTTGGGCCAGCTTTTTTTAATAAAGATTTCATTCTTCCTTTTTTTTTCCTGGCCAAATGTCAAGGTGATCTAGACAGAAGTACAACATCTATTTGGTGCCCATCTGAATAAGTTTATTCAGAAAGCAAATTTTTAACAGGATTAAGTCACCTCTGCAACAGACTGCAGACCTTCACTGTTCTTGTCTCCTTCACAGTACTAGAGTAGAACACCCAATAAATATTTATTCCATCTATAATAATGCTCTGTATTAAATCACAGCCCTGCCCCCCATTAGTTATGATACAGATTTATGAATAGCTTAAGCAGGCATAAACGCTGCAAAAGGCTTAGTCTCTCTTCAAGGAATATACAGCACTTTACAGAGATACACTATGTACACAAACCCATACAGCCAGGAGCTTGGGAGCCCATGTTGCTTGCATTGTGCTAATAACAGACAGACACCACTAGCACCATTTAAATGAAAGGGGTTCAAAACCAGCTTCCATCTTCCCCTGGTGGGCTTGCAGGAAAGCACTAATTGTTCTGTGTACACTTTTTTCAGTTGTATATGGAAAAATCAAAATGAACCATTTGAAAAAAGAACAGCTTCATCTGCTTCTGGCATTAGACAAAAAGTGCTCTCTACCATGCTGTGTAAAGTTGACCAACTTGGACACAGAAGAAATGAATGGTCTGTCTTGTTGTTGACAAACCCCAGAATTGATAATGTGTTCATGTGCTTGCATCTCCCTTGACAGGCTAACAGGGAGGTGGTGTGTGCTTCTTGAGGCACTAGCCCAGGCTTGTGTGTGATGGTCAGGTCCCTTAAACCTCCCCTGCAGTTTTCCTTAAAACTCCATTGCTGAAACTGTCTTAAGAACAGGCAGTTCTTGCCTAAAAGGCAAGTTCAGTTGCAGGGTATCTATGTGAAGTTCACATCACCACTTGCACACCCAAGGGAATTGCTTTGCTGCTGCTTCAGGGGATGTTTTGTTTTCTCCTTAGGGTTAGGGCTACAGCTTCAAGGCAGCACCAGATGCTACCTCTATTGCTGATGTGTGCCCCAGGAACTTAAACAGGGGCCACAGGATCTTGGATTCCACCCATCTAAACACACTCCTTACCAAGATGGGAGAAGAGGAAATGTAAGTGATGGAGAACTAGTACCCCTAGAGTCCAGAAATTCAAAACAAAGCATGTTTATTAAGTGGTCTCCTTTTACTTATTTCTCCCTTTTTTTTTTTTAAATAAATAAAACCTTCAGACACATACAAGTCAAACACATCATCCTTCAAAGTGCAGTTACATTTCCACCCCACTCCCAAGAATCACATAAAGCTTTGTCAAGTAACCAAAAAGACTCAAAAGGCAACCCTCGGTCCCTTCCCCTAGCGATGAGAGTAAATGGGTCTGTAGTGCTGCCCAGCTAGCCAGGAGCCTGTATCTTTTGGCTGTTCAAGGCTGGTTTCAGGTACAGTTGCAAGAGGCAGGCTGCAGAAGGATGTGGGAAGTTTAAGATACATAGTATGAAACAAAACCAACCTGTTTAGAGTCCAAAGAGTTTGTTACCAGAATAAGTTAGTTTGGGAGCCCTGGCAGGAACTAGGCTGATTACAGTCATGAGTGATGGATCAGAACCACTGCTCAGTCACTGCTGTGATGCTGGCTGCTGGCAGCAGAGTCTGGGATAAGGGATTAAGTCATTTTTGCCCAAAGTCATGGAATCCCCTGCACCTGGCCCAGGTGATGTCCCAGCACCAGCTGCCTCCCAGGATTAGTTCGAGTCTGCCTGTACTCCAAGCATACCAAGTAACAGAAGAAAGAGAAAGGGAGGATGAGGTCTGATGCTCAAATTTCATCTGTGCA